AGGTGGGCGGCCGGGAGCGCCCCGGCGGTGAGCAAGCAGGCGCTGGCTGAGGCACGTCAGGAATGCGTCTCCTGCCACGAATGCGCCTCCCGGCCATGCGCTCCCCTGCCTTGGCATTTCCTCCCTGGCGCTCTCGCCCTCGGGGGCTACCTTTGCTCCATGCAGCGAGCAGCGGCGCTGCGGGTGGATTGCACATCCCGCAACGTCCCTGTGCCCGCTGCGTGGCCCAGCCTCACCAGCAGCCTTGGACTGCGGCACCAGCAGCCCTGGTTCCAGCCGAGCCCCACTGACCCCTCTTGCTGACATCCTCTGTGCCCATTGCTCCTGGCGCTCTCGCCCTCGGGGGCTACCTTTGCTCCATGCAGCGAGCAGCGGCGCTGCGGGTGGATTGCACATCCCGCAACGTCCCTGTGCCCGCTGCGTGGCCCAGCCTCACCAGCAGCCTTGGACTGCGGCACCAGCAGCCCTGGTTCCAGCCGAGCCCCACTGACCCCTCTTGCTGACATCCTCTGTGCCCATTGCTGCACTGTGAATAATCCCATTTGCTGGCAGGGGTAAACTGAGGCACAGCAGCAGCCAGCACCACATCCGCAAGGCGCGAGCAGCATCCGCCACGAGCAGGGGCTGCGGTGGCACCGGAAAACCGCAGCCGCCCCAAAAGGCAAAGCCAGAGGACCACAGTTTCCTCCTGCTGGTGACCGGAGCTGCTGGCGGTTTCCAGCGGCGGCTGAGCCGGACTGGTGCCGCCGGCTCCCCAAGGCCAGAGGAGGCCAAAGCGGCCCCAACGGTGGGGCTGCGTCACCTGGCCTCCGCCCCCGCTCGGGTAGGTGTCCGCCAGGGCATCCTGCCTCAGGGACCCTGGGCAGCCCTTGCGCAGCCCAGCTCCCTGCAGCAGGAGTGCGTGAGGGACAGACATTTTGGGGCTCCCACCCCCAAAGAGGATGAGGACACTGTGGCGAGGACACCCCAGCAGTGAGGGGAGAGATGCGGGAGGCGGCTCCGAGCAGCCAAGCGCCAGGCAACAGCGCATGCCTCAGCGGCACCGTTTAGCACTCAGGGAAAGCAGTGGCATGAGGCCGGCCTCTGTCCCACGGCCACTGCCGGCAGGCGACGGCTGCGGCACCAGCGGCTGTGGCACCCAGCTTCCCCCGGAGCTGCTGGCTGCAAAGCCGCCTGCCGGCTCCCGTGGCGGCAATAGGATTACACGGGGCTGAGTCTCCCAGTGCCGAACGGAGAAATAAATCCTATACAGCAGGGTATGGGATTTATTAGACTTTGGTACTCTGGAAATAATGAGGACATTGCTCCCGGCTTGCAGCACCATGGGACCCAACAGGATCACAACCAGGATTTGTCCAACCACGCCTCTTCCCTGGCATCGGTTAGTTCTTCATCTCCTGAGATGAACCAGAAGGGGCGGGAAAAGGCACGCGGAAGCTTTTCGTGAGCTTAAAATCAGATCTGGTCCTTGAAGGTTTAACGGGATCGGGGCTGGTGAATCCTCCCTGTTGGCCACAGGGAGCCCTGCTGGGATGCTGCTGTGCTCTCCTCGCACGCTGAGCCTGGGATCTTTATTCCCGCGCATATTCCTGTGCATCAGCTCACCGGCCGCGCTGTGTCGTGAGCTGCCTCAGCAGCCTCCCAACGCCCTGGTAGCAAAGCTGCCTGCGCGCTGACTGCACGGCCCCGCAACCAGTCCCCGGGCGAGGACTCGGCTCTCCCTGCAGCGCGGAGCCGCGGGGACCAGGCCCCCACTTCGTGGGAAGGCCGGCGGCGGACGGAAATAGCGAGCCGAGGGTGGGTTTTTTTCCCCCCTCTGAAGCTGAGGCTCTGTTTGCTGGAGACCTGTAAATCACTCCTCAGCCGCCGGAAGGAGAGGCAAGAAAACCATGATCCAAGCGAGAAAAAACGCGGGCCACTCGGGAGCACGGGCGGAGGATGGCAGGAATGAGGCGGCCTCCCTGCCAGCGCCGAACGTGCCCAAGCTTGTGGGCCAGGAGCGGGCAGCCGCCAGGCCGGGGGCAGCAGGCGCCCGGGGCGGGAGCCGCGGGGGCCCCCGCCATGAGGAGGCTCCCCTGGGGCTTTCTCCCGGGCTGCCGCCACGGCTGATGCAAGAGCCCGAAGCAGGGACCGTGCTCAGAGCCCTGGGCAAGGGGCCAGCGCGTCGCTCCAGAAGTGCCCTCCGAACAGCAGGACGGGGCTCCTGCCTCTTTTTTCCTGGCGCCGCAAAAACGTGGGCAACAGCCCTGCCACCCTGGCCGGGAGGATCCTGCGGGACCTAGCAAGAATACTGCTACGTTGTCATGAGTTCACCAATTTCTTATTCCTGATGAGGGCAACTGCTGTAACCATGGTGCCGCTGTCAGGACACACGTTGCAGGCCCAGGTGGGGACCCCAGAGACCGGACACCTCTAGGCAGGGATTTGCAGTTGGGGACACATTTCCATTCCCACATTTGACCCTTCATTTCTTTCCCCACATACACCCTGAAGCCTGCCGGCTACAAAGCAGCCTTGGGACAAGGGTGTCCCCGCAGTAAGGGCCGGGCCCGGCTCTTCCCAACACTCCCCCCAAGCAGCACGCAGCAGGCGCCGGCGAGCAAGGGGCTGGACCGCTTTATTCCCGTGTGCGCTCCCCCCCGCCGCCGCAGCTGCTCCTGTCTTCTGCACAGAGCAAACAAGGAAGGATTTCTTCGTCGGCTTGCTTAAAAAAAAAAGAAGCCCGACGTCCTCAGACCCCATAAACACATAGAGACAGTCCGGCTTTGTGTGGGCAGGGGCAGACGGGGAGAGGCAGGGAGGCCGCGGGCTGGCTGCGCTGCAGCCTCTTCTGGCTCTGCGGGCATGTGCACCTCAGCACCCACCAGCGCCGGCAGAATCATGCCAGTTGCCTCCGGCGTCTGGTGGATTTAACCCTCAACGTGCCCCCTGCCCGCTGACAACCCCCCTCCCCAAACCATTACAGTAAAAGGAAAACCTGCGGAGATAGACAGGCCGAGTCTTGGGTAGGGAATGGTATCCAGCAGCCTCTGGCAGGCACGGAGACCTGGTGGCGAGAAGGGTCCCACGAGGCCGCCCGCCAGCACCTCAGGGCTTCATCCTGCTCAGCCTGATGTCACGTTCGATCTCAAACTGCCTGTGGTCCACGCGCTCCAGGAACGCCTTCCTCTCGATGTACCTGCAGGGAAGTAGAGGGGGAAGTGGTGCCGTGAGCTGGGAACGGGCCTCCGGCAAGCCCAGGAGGGTTGTAGCCCATGGTGTGACCTGGCAAACCCAGGAAGGCTGTAGGCCGGGGGTCCGTGCTGCAGCCTGGCTCCCTGAGCACTGCTGCGAGCGTGCAGCACCCGCGCAGAGCACCTTGCTGTTCCTCAGCGCCATGCAGCTGAATTTCAACACCCTTTGCTGCAAACTCCTGCCACAGAGCGCCCAGGGCCGGGCTGTTATTAACCCACGGAGGGAGCGAAATTGCAATTCCAACAGGAGCCGTAATTGAATCGTGGCAATTGCTTTGCATTTGTTCCGCAGCAGCAAGTGCTCAGCTGTCGGGACCAGGTCAGTGCGCTCAGCTTCTCGCTAAAGGGGAGACCCGCAAAGGTTGCAGCAGCCAAGGCTGGAGCAGGGCCCAGGAGCATGCAAGAGGAGACACGGATGCCGACGTGTGGGGGCTCCTGAGGCCTGTCGGCGTCGGGAGCACCTCCCGGCTCCAGGAACAGCCCCTCCGAACAGCCCGAAGGGCCTCCGGCTGCCAGGCTGCTGCGAGGGCTGCCGGCCAGCTCACACTGACCACAGATTAGCTCTGATCAGGGCACTCGTTGCCTGCTCCATGCTGCGCCGCCGCCCTCTGCGTGCCACGGCCCGAGCCCGCCTTGTGCTGACAGAACTGGGTCAGCTCCGCGGTGCCGGCAGCAGGGCCAAGGCCAAGGCCGCTGCTGAGCGCGAGGAGGCTGCGCCACGAGGGCCGCCCCCGGCACGCGCCAGCTCCGGAAAGGTGGCCAGGGGAGTGTCGCTTCCCTTCTCCCGCTGAGCACGGAGGGAACACGCTCCACGGCAGGGCCAGCAGAGGCCACGGGAAGGAAACGCGGGGGATAGTGAAACTTATCTGTTACTGTGTCCCGGTGCCTGGGCACACTGCTATCCTCCCTGCCAAGGTCGGAGGAGCTGGGCACCATGTCCCTCCCAGCGCTGCGCAGGGATGGACAGGGGTCCTGCGCGTCCTGCTGCTGCTCTGAGCGTGGGGGAACCGGGGCGGAACAGCGGCCAAGCTGAGCAGGGGGAGCTGCCCAGACCTGCTTAAAAAACGGGGGGGCGCTGCGCACCGGGGGAGGGAGCCGATACGGATCGCAAACCAGGAATGCTCTTTCATGGCTCAGAGGCGCAGCCAGTGGCTTTACACGGAGAAGGAGCCGCTGTTGCATGCAGTTGTCCTTGGCCGGCTGCAGGAGAGCGCCGCAGGGGCTGCAGCCACACACGTCAGCAGAGCGCCTGGGGACACGGCAATGCCCTGTATCTGCGCACGCACCTGCATTTACGGGAACAACAGGCTCGTTTGGCCTCTCCTGCTGTTGCGCTGCCGCCAGACACCGGCAAGGACACAGCAGGTTTCCAGGGCTGGCACAAGCCTCCTGACTCCACTGTAACCCCACGTATAAACCCCAGCTTCCTTATCAGCTCCCAGCCCGGCACCGAGCAGCCAGCAGCGAGCTGCTGCCAAATGGCAGGACAAAGTGCACGAGCGAGCGCCAAGCGCTGCCTGTCCATTAGGGTCCGTTCTTCCAAATAACCTTCATTCCCCTAATCAATACGGGCTGCAAGTAATCAGCAAGCAGGGAAACAGGACAGGGGGACGCTCGCCAAACAGAGGCAAATTTTCTGGGCAAAGAGGCTGTCACTGCTGGTGACGGCAACTGGGAAGCACTCTGGGGAGCGGCGCAGCACTCTGCTGCATCCCTGGCAGCCACCGTCACTCACGGCTGTGCCAGTCCGGCCCGGACCAAGTGGGGCTGCCTCCCCACTGCGCCTGCCCTACAAAGCCGGTCCAGTTAGAGGCCGCGGCGCTTTTCCCTTTCTAAGTGGCATCGGAGCCACAGATCCGGAGCGACGGATCTGCCTCCTCCCCTGCCTTCAGCTTCTCCTTTCAAAACCAGGACGGGCACTGGGGATCTGACACAGTTGGGCTGCACGAGACAGGATCCTGCTGCTTAGGAGAAAGGAAACCACAGTCTGGAAAGGGGGATGTGAGGGAGGAGAATTCAGAGCCAAGGGCAGGGGCCTCAGCCATGGGGCTGCACATGTGCCCCTCCACCCTGGGAATTGCAGGGCCACACTGACAGCAGCTCAAGGTACCTCCTGCTTCCCTCAGAACGCAGCAGGACCCTCTGTATAGCGCCCTGGGCGTGGGGGACAATCAAACAACCCAGGTCCTTGTTTTCTGGGAGCAAGCTGTGGCTTTCCTCCCTGGGCAGACGTTTTCAACCACAAAGCAGGGATTCAACGCGCGTCAGGCAGAGAGCAGAGGCTGGCACTGCAGAGGGACAAGAAGTTCATCAGCACCAGGTACATGGGCAGCGCCCCGCTCCCCCCAGCCTCAGCTGGAGGGTTTGCAGCTGCTCCTCAGGGTTCTATAGAGAGCCTTCCCGCCGAGGGGCGAGCAGCAGCTTCCCAGCCCTGCTGGAGGAGAACAGGCGGCTCTGAAGGGCACAGCAGGCTCAGTGCAATGCCCGGAGCTGCTCTGCAAATGCACAGTCTGTTGCACATCACATGCATTGACAGCTAGCCCAGAGCCAGCAGTGTGTGAGCTGCACATCCACTGGTTCTCCTCCCCACTCTTTGCCCCTTTCCTTCCCTTGAAGGTGGATTTAATTCCCTGAGCAAATACTCAGGCGATCTCCTTGTGTTTGAAGTCCATTTGGCACAAGCAGATTTTTAGCTTTGAATTCCTGGTTATTGCCAGGTTAATGAAAAACCCACTTGCCCATAGCCCAGGGGATTCTCTAACGTGGAAACTGATGGGCAGCGAAAGCCAAAGCTCTTCAACCTTGTGGATACTCCTAACACTGCTGCTCTGTCTTGATCATCTCTTCTATATGTTGATCACTTCTTCAGCTTTCAAGGACCATCATCTCTGATGGTTTGCATCTCCGTAAAGATTCACCAGACACTGGGGGAGAAAAAGCTGTCCTGGTTATACAGGCCAGGAAAGAAAATGGCACTTTCCAAAAAAGCTGGGCACCTTTGAAAACGTTTGAAAAAGTCAGAGATGCCACAGAATATTCACGGCTGGCACAGACCGCTTCAACAAGAGCCTTGTTGAAGGAGCCGTGACCATGATATTGGCTGTGCTGCAGATGCCAACAGCATCAGCAACGATCTGGCACGTGCTCTCCCTGCCACATCGGAGTGTGTCGTGAATCATAGAATCACAGAATGCTTAAGGTTGGAAGGGACCTCTAGAGATCATCTAGTCCAACCCCCTGCACACGCAGGGTCACCTAGAGAACGTGGCACAGGACTGCGTCCAAGTGGATTTTGAAGATCTCCAGAGAAGGAGACTCCACAACCTCTCTGGGCAGCCTGTTCCAGTGCTCTGGCACCCTCACTGTGAAAAAAACTTTCCTTAAGTTCCTGTGGAACTTTTGATACTTCAGTTTCTGGCCATTACCTCTAGTTCTGTCGGTAGCCACCAGTGAAAAGAGGCCAGCACCATCCTCCTCACTGCCTCCCTTGAGGCACTTCTAGACACTGATCACGTCCCCT